GGGAATATAACTTTGTGAATTTTCACCTATAGCAGTCCCAAGGGATGGCTGGGACTGGTGTTTTAAAGGAACACAGTCAGTTGGACAATGCAGATGGGTCAGTTCAGGTCGCAGGCAGAAACTTGGCCAGCAAACCGGCAAAGATTCGGTCCAGGAAAAAGACAGAAATGTGGTCAACAAACAGGCCAGGGTCGTAACAGGTTGCAGGCAGAGGCAACACTGCACTGGTGTGATGGTGATCAGGAACATTGTTGCTGACTGCACTGGTCTGGTGACACTGGGACTAGCGTAGTAACAATCAGGAACACCATTGCTGGCTTACACTGGTGTACTGACACTGCAACTGGTATGACGATGACCAGGAACATTGTAATTGCTGTGGCAATGATCAGGGACAATATGACTATTGTGGCATTGAACAGGGACAATGAGTGGTGCGGCGGTGATTGTGGACAAATGATTGGTGTGGCATGATGTCACCATAGTGTAAGGCCCCTTTCACATGGGGCAGACTATCTGGGACATCTGGGATCCACTTGCTTAGTGGGGGACCTGTTCACTGATGTGTCCAGTGGACACAGTGGTCACACAATCGGGGAAGCACAGGAGGAACAGTTTTGAGGGATGTACGGGTAGGTCCAATCAGTATGGCACTTGTCCCACCTGGACATTTATGTGCATTGGCCAGGTGGGAAGAAGTTAAATCATAATAAAAAAAATCACACAAACGGCCCTGATCAAAAGTTGAAATACCCTGAAATGTTTGCCAGGATAGATACTAAAGCCATGGGGAGTAGAAAAGAACTGTCAAAATACCTGTGTAGCAAGGTAATGGAACTTTAAAAAGAAGGAAAGGCCTGTAAAAAAAAATCCAAAGTCTTGAAAATGCCAGTCAGTACTGCTTAATCACTGAAGAAGTGGAAAATTTGGGAATCTCTGAATAACAAGACAAGGTCAGGTAGAACAAGAAAGATTGCAGCCACAACTGCCAGAAGAATTGTTCAAGATACAAAGAAAACCCAGAGGTAACCTCAGGAGAACTATAGGCTGCACTGGAAAAAGACAGCATGGCAGGAGGACAATATGACAATACTTGGAACAAAAATGAGGTGCATGGTCACGTTGCCATAAAGAAGCCTTTACTGTACGAATGCCGCAAAAAAAGTCAATCCAAAGCATGGACAAAGCATATTCAAGGCTTTGGATATTTTTATATCCTTTTTCATCTTTATAATTTTTCATTGCCTTGCTACGCTGGTCTTTTGACAGCTCTTTTCTAATCCCCATGGCTTAGTATCTAGCCTGCTCAGTGCATCCACACAAGAGCTAATAAAGCCATTGATTATTTATACACAGATAGTAATTGAAATTGAAGCACCACAGAGGCGGGAAAATAATCTATATTTGCCATTTTAACCTGAGTGTGTCACCTTGTGTGTCTACACCAAGGCTAAACATTCCAGGGTATGTAAACTTTTGATAAGGGCTATTTGGGTGATTTCTGTTATCATTATGATTTAAAAAGGAGCAACTATGTGTTAATAAATGTCTTCATATGATAACTGTCCTTAAAATAAGATTCCTTTTTGGCATGATGAGTCATATTTTCAATATCAATGCCAAAATTTCACAATTTTTGCCAGGGTATGAAAAGTTTTGAGCACAACTGTATGTGCTCCAACTTTGGAGCATATTTATAGCGTTAGGACTGCAATACACTGGGGTGCTGTGACGTGGCCTCTGCAGCCTACGTGTATATTTGCAAATGTATGCAAATTTAACCCCTGGTTTTAACGTGACATGTTAAGACAGGACAGTTCAGTTTGTTGGAGGCTGGCTGGTATGTCAGCTGGGAGTTTTTCTTTGTTGTTTTTTGACATGCGTCACCCTTCCATATGCTCCTTGCTGCAGAGGCCATTTAGAGGTTGGGGTGGTTGCCATTTGTCCTAATTAACTATATCTGCTCCTTTTCCCCTCCGCTCTTACTTTCCTATCCTATCCTTTACAGCCACGGAAGCTGCCATCTTAGCCTCTGTTTGATCTGCAGCTGCCATGGTGCTGCACATGTGATCAGTTATGACAATGGACATTTGATGGCTTGACATTGTCAATGAAAGCACCAGCAACTGTGACAGCTATCATTCAGGGCATTCCTTGAATATAACCATTTTGGGAAATGGTTAAATCTACGGGCTTAGCTCAACTTTAATTTCTGTTTTTTACTATTATGTATTTTTTAACTAGCACTGGCCAAAAAAAAGAAAATGTGCTTTGTTTTGTTTTTTTTTAGTTTAGTTTTTTTTTTTGTCTAAAAATTGAGGAAGAAAAATAATTTTTTGCAATTCAATATCACAAAAAGAAAGCCTGGTTTGTCCTTGAAAATCAATATACATTACTTTGTTACCTTAAACAATGACAATATTATTTTCGAATACACAGGTCCATAGCAGAAATTTAAAAATTAGTTCATAGAGGATGTACAGGTGTGAGACATGAAGTGGCTCATAGCAGCCAGTTTTAACATGTAATAGAAATGCACAATGGTCTTTAATTAAAATTGCCTTTACAGAGTTTTCCTCGCAACTGCATGTATGCATAAATGCATCCACACATGGACACGTACTAAATGGTAATTTATACCTCGCTCAATTTACAACATCCCACAACTACAAATAATAACAGTTAGGTTTAAAGCCTTTATTTATGGCTGTGAATATGGAATACATGCAAAGCTGTGTGAGGTTACAAGGATTACCAGCCTGGAGCATGTCTTTTTATTGACAGCTTAAAGATTAGCAGTTGTTAATTACATTGGAAAGAATCAATAGTTGCTAATAATACATGACACTGGCAATGAAAACACAATAGGCGTAAGGCTGAAGATTGAGACCTTTTTCCAGTGAAGACATATGTTTTGAATAATGCAGCAGTTCTTTTTAAGCAGCGCTGGCAGCATGCACACACATGATGAGCGCAGACACTTGAGTGCTTGCACAAAACACCAGTTTCAAAATACCACAGAAAATAAATCATCAAACCAGACTGCAGTTTAGTCACCTGTGCTTAAGCTGAGGTGTGGATTGAGTAAATGTTTGTTTAGCTGGGACTTATTTCCTCTTGGCTTTTTCACATTCTACAATACCCTAACGTAGACATGAACTCAAAAAGTGAGAATCTGCTATGTGATGGGGAGCATCTAGAAAATGTTTATGCCAAAGAGGTACTCTTTAACACATTCCCTTTGTCTTGAATTTCTCCTGAAAAACAGCACTAAACTCACTGGTATGTGAGGTTGCTTAGGCAGGGGTGGGGCTCTGGTGACCAGAGTCCACCTTACCTCAGTGTTCCCCTTTTTACTAAGGGGCCACAGAGTTCCCCTTTACAACAGTACAACTAAACTAACCTACAATCTGATCTACCTGGGCAACTAGATTAAAAGGTTTTGGAGCTTGTAACATAACAGAAAGCAGTTAGGGCTGTTTCTTGAGCTCCATTTCTTTCCATTAGAAATGGTCCTTAAATCATTTTTCTCCCCAGTTAGCTTCACAGTCAGATAATAATCACGTTGTTTGAACATTTGTTTCCAAAGTTATAATGGGAGATGCACACTAAGAAAATTGGACAGATATTTCTGCATTTGGAACGATTGCTTGATTTTGCTTATAGTGTGTAAGCTTCTTTCCATAACTGATTCGGACCTTCCAAAACGAAAACTTCCAAAAGGGGCAAACTACAAAATTTTTCTCGTTAGTGAACATAACTTACGATTATGAATCCTGTGTACTGTCTCTGCTTAAAAAATGTTAATTGGAATGGGGCTTTACTTACAGTCACTTACTTACAGTGCCTGGAAAAAGTATTCATGCCCCTTGAAATTTTCCACATTTTGTCATGTTACAACCAAAAACATAAATGTATTTTATTGGGATTTTATGTAATAGACCAACATAAAGTGGCAAATAATTGTGAAGTGGAATGAAAATGATAAATGGTTTTCAACATTTTTTACAAATAAATATCTGAAAAGTGTGGCATGCATTTGTATTCAGCCCCCGAGTCAATACTTTGTAGAACCACCTTTTGCTGCAATTACAGCTGCAAGTCTCTTTGGGTATATCTCTACCAGCTTTGCACATCTAGAGAGTGAAATTTTTGCCCAGTCTCAAGTCTTCTGCAGACTAACTCTTTCTTGTAAGATTGCCCTGTATTTGGCTACATCCATCTTCCCATAAACTCTGACTAGCTTTTCTGTCCCTGCTCAAGAAAAGCATCCCCACAACATGATGCTGCCACCACCATGTTTCACAGTGAGGATAGTGTGTTCAGGGTGATGTGCAGTGTTAGTTTTCTGCCACCCAAAGCGTTTTGCTTTTAGGCCAAAAAGTTAAATTTTGGTCTCATCTGACCAGAGCACCTTCTTCCACATGTGTCCCCCCCCCCCCCCCCCCATGGCTTCTCAAGAACTGCAAACGGGACTTCTTATGGCTTTCTTTCACAATGGCTTTCTTCTTGCCACTCTATAAAGGCCAGATTTGTGGAGTGCACAACTATTAGTGGACAGATTCTCTTACCTGAGCTGTGGATCTCTGCAACTCCTCCAGAGTTACCATGGGCCTCTTGGCTGCTTCTCTGATTAATGCTCTCCTTGCCTGGCCTGTCAGTTTAGGTGGATGGCCATGTCTTGGTAGGTTTGTAGTTGTGCCATGCTATTTTCATTTTTGGATGATGGATTGAACAGTGCTCTGTGAGATGTTCAAAGCTTGAGATATTTTTTATAACCTAAACCCTGCTTTAAACTTCTCAAAAACATTATCCCTGACCTGTCTGCTGTGATCCTTGGAATTCATGATACTGTTTGTTCACTAATGTTCTCTAACAAACCTTTGAGGGCTTCACAGAACAGCTGTATTCATACTGAGAGTTACCGTAGTTTTCGCTCCATAAGATGCACCTAGGTTTTAGAGGAGGAAAACAAGAAAAAAAATATATTGTAACCAAGACTGCAGACATGGTACAGGAGATGACCAGAGACTGCAGACATCATACAGGAGATGACCAGAGACTGCAGACATGGTACAGGAGATGACAGTGCAGACATCGGGAGATGACCAGAGACTGCAGACACAGTACAGGAGATGACTGCAGACACAGTACAGGAGATGACTGCAGACACAGTACAGGAGATGACTGCAGACACAGTACAGGAGATGACTGCAGACACAGTACAGGAGATGACTGCAGACACAGTACAGGAGATGACCAGAGACTGCAGACATATTACCGGGGATGAAGAAAGTTCTTTCAGCAATGTACATATGTACAGTTTGTAAAAAACAGCTCAGGGTTTGATATAAAAGTCCACATGCAGTCTAGGGGGGGGAGGGCATACCTGGCCAGCAGTCCGGGGGTGGACCTCACACTCACATCAAAACCTCTACTACAGCAGCTCCCTCTCGAGCATACAGGCTGCATTGGGCGGGGTCAGTGGAGCTTCCAGACCTGGCCCTGCCCCCTCCCTGCTGGCTGGCCTGGTATTCTAACACGACGGCGGCCGGGGGGGGGGGGGGGGGAAGATCGGGTTGGGGTTTGGGTTGGCCTGGTCAATATTCGCTCCATAAGATGCACAGACATTTTCTCCCATTTTTTGGGGTAAAAAAAGTGCGTCTTATGGAGCGTGAAAAATACGGTACTTACACACAGGTGGACTCTATGTACTAATTAGGTGACTAAAGGCAATTGTTCTACTAGAATTTAGTTAGGGGTATCAGAGTAAAGGGGGCTGAATGTAAATGCATGTAAATCCACACTTTTCAGATATTTAATTGTAAAAAATTTTGAAAATCATTTAACATTTTCGTTCCACTTCACAATTACAGTATGTACCACTTTGTGTTACTCTATCACAAAAAATCCCAATAAAATACATTTACGTTTTTGGTTGTAACATGACAAAATGTGGAAAATCTCAAAGGGTATGAATACTTTTTCACTGTACGTCCACCTAAAATGTCCAAAAGGCGACAATGCATCAGTGAATTCATACCAGAACAAACAGAATTGTCGCCCTGCTAAAGTAAGCCAAAAATCAATGTCTCTATTGACAGGAGACAGGATGAGAACCTGGTAAAACGATGTAAAAGGGGAAACTCAGATAAACAATAAATTCCAGTTTATCGCTACTAACAGACATCATACACTCACTGGCCTCTTTATTAGATTCACATCATGGATGTGCAGCTGACAAATCTTCAGCAACTGCGTGATGCTATCATGTCAATATGGACCAAAATCTCTGAGGAATGCTTCCAACACCTTGTTGAATCCATGCCACAAAGAAATAAGACAGTTCTGAAGGAAAAAGGGGGTCCAACTTGGTACTAACAAGGTGTACCTAATAAAGTGGCCAGTGAATGTATGTTCCATTTTCTTCTTTGACCATAGTTCTAATTAAGTGCTCTTGTTTTTTGCTGTCCCAACTTGATAAACTCTGGAATTCATTTTCCCATCAATGACAACAATCCGTCCAGGCCCTGAGGCAGCAAAGCAGCCCCAAACCATGATGCTCCCTCCGCCATGTTTTACAGTGGGGATGAGGTTTTGATGTTGGTGTGCTGTGCCTTTTTTTCTACACACATAGTGTTGTGTGTTCTTCCCAAACAACTCAATCTTGGTTTCATCTGTCCACAGTATATTTTGCCAGTAGTGCTGTGGAACATCCAGGTGCTCTTTTGCAAATGTCAAACGCGCTACAATATTCTTTTTGGACAGCAATGGCTTCCTCCGTGGTGTCCTCCCATGTACTCCATTCTTGTTTAAGGTTTTCCTTATTGTAGATGTGTCAACAAAAATGCTAGCATGTGCCAGAGATTTCTGTAGGTCTTTAGCTGACACTCTGGGATTCTTCTTTACCTCATGCAGCATTCTGCGCTGTGCTCTTGCAGTCATTTTTACAGGACGACAACGCCTAGGGAGAGTAGCAACAGTGCTAAACTTTCTCCATTTGTAGACAGTCTGTCTTACCGTGGACACATGAACATCAAGGCTTTTGGAGATACTTTTGTAACCCTTTCCAGCTTCATGCAAGTCAACAATTCTTGATCGTATGTCTTCTGAGAGCTCTTTTCTGCGAGGCATGGTTCACATCAGACAGTGCTTCTTGAAACCAGTAAACCCAAAACAGGTGTGTGTTTTTTAAGGGCAGGACAGCTATCAGCAACACATCCAATATCATCACACTGATTGGAGTCAAGGTTGGCTCACTCCTGGCTCCAATTAGCTCTGGGAGAAGTCATTAAGCTAGGGCCTCACATACTTTTTCCTCCCTGCACTGTGAATGTTTACATGTTATGTGCAATTAAACCATGGCAACATCGAATGTTTGTGCAGTATTATGCTCAACAGACTGTGTTCTTCTATTGCTGTGACTTAGATGACGTTCAGAGCACATTTTATGCCCAATTCATGCAAAACTCCACGTAATCCCAAGGGGTTCACATACTTTTTCTTGCAACTGTATCCACACCTCAGTGCAAAAAGCAAACAAATGAATCATTCACCAGACCTATATGACCCCTATTACAGTGGTCATATATCGCATTGTGTGTTATAAATCTCTGGAGGTTCCTCCCCGTATGATCACCAACACCTGCACTTCCAGGTTGGCTATCCAACCTGGAAGTGCAGGTGTTGGTGATCATACGTTTGCTTTTTGCAATGAGGTGTGGATACATGGATTTCTATGTCACCAAATTTTGAAGTCAAAGAAGGACTGTCACAATTTGAATTCATGCAGCACTTGGTGGAAGCATAAGGACGTTTTATAAAATTGGGAATATTCAGTCACTTTATATGTTTAATTAATTTATGTTTGGTATATGTATTGTCTGATAATTATTTGTTGGTATTGATCCACAAAACTCATTACTTCGCTATTATATGGGGAGTATAGGGTGCATACCTACACTTTATGCTACTTACCCTATTTGAGCACAGCGCCTATCTATTCATCACATATTTTAGTTGCTATAGACAGGAGAATTGCCATGGCGAGGTGTTGCAGGGAGCCCCATCAAAATTCTGCTAGGGAGAACCATAAACTGTAGTTCCGCCTCTGGTGGGCAACAGCTTTGCATATGTTCTCCAAATGTTGACACTTTTGAAACACTTGTCATTGACTACACAACTAAATATCACAACTCATGTTTTCATTTATAACATTACTTGTTCATAGTCTAGGGCATGATAGGCAATGGTAGGGAGGACTACCTTGACAGCAGGTGGAAATAGATACTGCTGGCATAAATGCTTGAGAAAATGCAGCCTGTTGGCATTGCCACCTGCTTTTAGGGACACAAAATGAACAGACAGTATAGGATTCATCAACGCTTAGACTAAGGCAAATATATTCATACATATTGTAGAAGCAGCCAAACATAGACTGCCAAAATGTTTGTCAAGATGGAAGTATCATCTGACATTTCACAATCATATAAACAGGTAAGCACATTACTTACAAAGAAAATAGTCATATTTTCAAGACGTATGCTATTGCATTATTAAATGTCTGAAGATTTGAACAAGGAACAGATTGGCAAACAAAGGCTCAGCCATGATAAACCACCATTACATGTAAAACATGTGTTGATCATGTAATACATTTTGAAGGCACACAAACATTTAAAACTGAAATGTATAGGATTATACAGAACAGATGAAATAATTGGGGCAATGAAAGGGTCAATTGTCAATTGCAGACCCAAAGAAAAATATAGAATATTACAGAAGTAATCTGGGGGCAACCATAATAAAAGATGAATATAGACATACCATCTGTGTCTCAGAAATATGGGTGCATTACACAAGTATTCAAGCCACAGACTCATGTGTCACCTTGCAGTCTGCTTTGTTCCTGGTCTCTGCTTTGTTTACAGTTGTTGCGCACATAGCATCCGGGAACAGTTTGTCGATTGGACAGCAATTAATGCATTTAACTGGCTGTAATCCATGTAAAATCTAAGTGAACTAATATAAACAGACATTTTTTTTTTTTTACCTTTTCATGATTTTCAATAATTATTTCAACAACAATATTCTGGAATTTGATATCCATGATGGCTGCTACAGTTTCCTCTTGGGGACGCAAAAGTGTTGGCCCAAAAACCACTCCCAGGTTGGCTACAGTCATCAAGTTTTGCTTATGATTAGCAGCAACGCTGAAAGCAAACAAAAATAAAATAAAATGTCATTCGAAGCTAAATTTTTTTTAAATGAACAACAAACACATCAGGTGCAGAAGGCACTTTTATGAACATAAATAAAAGCTAAAGAATATACATGGGCCTGCTCACCTGTCTATGCAAGCCTATCAATACAGGACAATCATCTGTCTCCATACAGTTGCTGCATCCACACAGAGAAATATAGGCTGCCTGAACGCAGCTCCAGCTGTATAAACAAGGGGTTCATTCACACTGTGTGAATGAGGCCTAAAATGTGATGGTCCAAAGATTGATGACATTTACATCTTAAGTGTTTTAATACGAACAACCTTCTTTCCACACACTTAAATTAAACTGTATGTCAGAGCAAAATAAGAAATGCATATGCAGTACATCTCTGCAATTCATGCAGTACATGCATATTTGCCTATGTTTCATTTCTTTATAGGCCCTGCAAGTACAGAAAAATTAAAAAAAATCATGTGTCAAAAAGACGCCACCTAAATTTATGTACAATGAAAAAGAAAAGCGGCCCCTTCGGTGAAAGCAAACACTATATATGAAAATCAATAATTAAAGATAGACGCTACTCCTAGAATAAGTGGTACTAACCTCATAAATTAAGTGGAAAATATCATCAGAATCTGTGAAAAATAATCAATACATCTAATCCAAAAATAGTCACAAAGTGTCCATACAACAATTCCGCAGAAAACCCAAGCACTGTGTTCACAGGGATCGATGGTAAGTGTTCATTCTGTAGTCCAAACCCAGTAATACACCATGTGTGGTAAGATTAACATTTTACCAGACCTCTATATCCAATTATTATTATCCAATAAGCCTGTCACACCTCTCAATTGAGACCATCAGCAAGAAGAGGAAACGGAACAGGGAACACCACAGTCTTCTAATAGATAGCTTCTCTAGGTGAAGGTGACACACACATACTCAGAGAGATAAAACTTTCATGATGTAGTATATTTATTTAATTAAAAGAAGAAACCAATAAACAAATTGCACTCACATTTTGTTGTGCCTAGACGGCACTAACACACAGAGTAGGGTAGAATCAAACACCACGCACCGCCGCTTGCAATCCCTGATGTGCATTTCACAGCTCGGAACTAGTTCACCATAAGTGACGTAGAATGAAAACCAGAAATGATGGCAATGGCCAAGCTTCAATGCATTTTGCGGGAT